AGACTATATGCCCAGTGATTTATCTGCATGTATTCTCCCATGTAGCCCTAACACCAACCCTGTGAAGTAAATAATCATCCTCACTTTACAGACGAAGAAACTGAGGTTCAGAGTGGTTAAATATGAGATTATGCGAGAATGTTGCAAAAGAGGACACACACACAGGACTCTGACTCCCGTGCCATATTCTTGCCCAAACATGGACAGGAGAGAGGCTCAGAGGTCACCATCCAGGGCAGAAGACTCTGAGGATGTCTCTCTTTTAGGTTCAGTTAAAAACTATGGGCCTTCCTCCCAAAAAATGAACGAAGCATATTTACTCACAGCTTTGCACACATTTTAGATGGTTCATGGGCATTTGTTGAAGACATCTATAAGTCCCTCAAGAACCCCTAAACTAAAAGAAGGAAAATAGCTATTGTCTTGGCCTGACCAGCTGCCCAGGACACTTTTGTACTGATTTTCCCTATTAAATTTAGAAACTCTTATGCTCATAGAATCACTGACTATTAAAATTCACTTAAAAAATTAGGGATTATTGATAATATGGAGTATTGATAATTTATGGATTATTGTGCCAACTCATCTAAGCATGAAATTATATAATGTACATTTTAGAATCCGGAAAATCTTAGAATGTGAGAGCTGAAAGAAAGTAGAATAGTGATCAAATCCACACAAAATATTATTCCCCAAAAACTCTGATGGGTAGGAAGTATTATACACAGAGGCTGAGAGAAGGGACAAGATTTTCTAGAGGCCACTCGTAATCACGTGGAGTCAGAATTCAAACCCTAGTTGCTAGTTTCAAAGCCAGATTGTCAAGTTAAAGATTCAACCAACAGAAAGAAAGCCATGTAGGCTGCATGGGGCTAAGAAAAGTCAAGACAAAAACATTTGTTGAGAACCTAGCAGATGCCAGGCAGTACCAGCGGAATGCAGATATGCTGCCTTATTTCATGCTCCCAATAACCATGCAAAGTGAGTACTATTGGGGAAACAGGTTCAGAGTGGTGACATAACCAGTCCAAGGTCACACAGCCAGGTAAGCATCAGCAACTATGTCCCTTGCTTTATTTCCCTGATACAGTGGAGATGGGAAGTCAGAGAGCAAAACCCTGGTCATGTTTAGCTGGTGCTTTTCCAAGGAGAAGAACTGAACTAACTGACACATATGCTCTGATCTGTGGGGAGGGGGACACTATTCTGGAACTGGGTGAAATATCCCCTGGGATTCTCTGCATCCCCTAGCCCTTCCTGATGTTATGCTCATCCAGCTTCCTCTAACTAACTAGTCTGGCCTCTATGATCCTAGGAAGGGGGCACCCTGGATGGCAGAAACAAGAAACCCCATCAAGGAACTGCATATCTCCCATGGTGTGAACCAGTTGTTGTTCTGTGGTCCAGGCAAGACTCTCAGCTGTGACGACCCCACCAATGTCCTCTGCCTTACAAACCCTAACAACAGCCACTGATCTCTTGCTCTAAGAGCCCTATCTATCTTCTTTCACATAAACAGTGGTCCTCATTCACATTCACATAAACCTTTCCAATGTCTCTTAATATATAGTTTACAGTGCACACTCCTAGAAGCTATTTCCTTTAACCTCATTGCAACTCAGTGAGGTTAAGTATTATCACGTCCTCCTGCTATAGATTAGGAAACTATCTGAGGCCCAGGGAGGTTATACAGCTCATCCAAGGTGACACATCTAGTAAGTAGGTGAGACTAAGATTCAAACCCAGATATGTCTGAATTGAAAGTCTGTTCTGTTTGCATAATACCATATCTATGTTTTTAATGAATGTCTCTATTTAATTCCCACAGCAGGGGTTAGACAAGTGTGAAGGTCCTTGGTCCCTGTGTAATGGTGAGGAAGCTCACCTCAGAGAGGTTAGAGGACTTGCTGGAGGGTGCTCTCTGGGATAATGTTGGTGCTGTCATCAGAATCCAGGTCTCCTGATTCCTAGTCTAGAGGACATTTTCTCCCAGACCATATTGCCTTTCCCACCAGACCATGTAATTTCTTTTTTTGATTGGGACACGGAGCCAGCAGCCAACAAAGATCACAATCTGTCTGCCTGAAGTCTCCCTCCGTTATGAACTGAGAGTTTTTTTAAACCAGTATTTCAGACAGAACCCAAGTTAAATCACCCTTGCATGCACTGAATTGGCCTGAGCTTCCCTGGTGCAATCTGTTTCCTCTTCTCATCCTCTGGGGGACAGAACAAGGCAGGGTGGGTCCATCAGCATCATGGCCTGCTCAGCTTGTGCCCAGCCTCTCTATTCGCCCTAACCCCTTCCGGTCACGAGCTCCTATTCCCTGCTGCCACTCCCATATAGTCAATTACCTCCTCTTCTCAGTTCCATATTCTAAATATTCCACAGCCACTACCCTGGTCTTGGCCTGAATTATTTCTCACCTGGATTTTTATAACAGCCTAATGCATGTCCCTGCCTACAGTATTGGTCCCCTCGAATCTGTCTTTTCCACTACAGTCAGAGTGGCCTTTCCTCCCCATTAGAAACCCTTCTATTGCTCTCCATTGTCTACATTCAAGGTCAAACTCCTTACAGCTTTCTGTTTCCGACTTATCACTGTGTCTGAAGTCCTTCAGCCTTAGGGACCACTTACAGCTCCTGCCCACACCTTCTATCCTCCCCTCTTTGTCCAACATGTCCTCCCTTCAACAATACCCTAACCCAGTTGGACTAGTTCATATTAAAAACTCAGTTTAGACGTCTCTTTTGCTGGGAAATCTTCCCTGACTCCCAGGATTGCATGTGAGTTCTCTTTCCCCTCATGTAAAGACATTCTTGTCCTTAGTATGTTCTCCACCACATTCCCTGTGCCTAGAACTTTATCTGATCTATGGCAGGAACTCAATATATGCTTGTAAAATGAAAATGTCCCATTGCCTTCTGGAATTCCTCCACCATAGAATTTATCATATACATTGTAATGATCTCTTAGCTTTTCTGTCTCCCCAAGTGGACTGAAAGCTCTGTGAGTCGGGAACCACGCCTCTTTATTTTACTATTTTACCCTAGGTGCTTTTTATGATTCCTGGTATGTACTAATGGTGTGATTACTTTTGATAAATGAGGGTTAGCTGTTGGGGGGTGGAAACCCTGGGCCTGAACCAAGGGTGGGCTTTCTACTGAGAAACACGTTTTCTTCTAACACAAAAGCATGTCAGAAGTGCTAAGAAAGGGTAGGAGAACCTGTCAGATTGGACAGCAGAAAACAACAACGAACTAAGCGCAGGCCTCCTCTGAAGGGACCCTCGTCTCACCATGAATAAGGGCTGCAGAATCCCCTTTGGTGCACAAGCTCTAACTCTTATTCCAGGCTGCTCTCTGTCCCTTTGTCATAATATTATGGGAGAGCAAAGCAAGCACCATGTAGAATGAAGCATATGCATGTATTATAGGAGTTAGCAGATTCTGGAGAAGGCATAGACCATACACATCTAATGTGTGTATGGGGCATGGAGAGGGGCAGTGTGGCCCATAACGGTGGCCAGGACTTTGGAACCTACAGACCTTGTTCCTCAGAGCAGAGCCTAAGCCCTTGGTCTTGCTGAGTCAGGTGAGTATTAAAGCAGACTGTAAGATGACACTCGGTCTTGGTGACTGTAGAGAGGGAACTCTCAGTTCCAATTATAATCTCTCTATGTCCAACAGGGTCTGGAATATAGCTCTAACACCTGGCCTACCCCTGCCAGCTGCTCCTTCTAGGGTCATCACCCTACTTCCCATGTTCTGGCAAGGTACCTGGACACCATATCCCCTCCCCGCCCCATACACACACATACAAACAGAGCCACTGAGTTTCACTTGGCTGGTGGGACTAGCCCTAAGTCATGTCACTTTCAGAAAAGAAGTTTTCCTGCACAGAGTATGATAGGAACTCCATAAACACTCACCAAGTGTTGAAAAAATGCTAAAAAGAACCCTTCTACTTCCAGGGAGGGGGAGTTTGCATCAATACAGAGTTCATTTTATCTGAAGTTCCTTCCTCCTCCCTCCACTGTAATTCTTTCTCCAAGAAAACTAAGTGTTAGGAAAGGAGACATGAATCAACCCGAAACAAAGGATACAGGAAAGCAGAATTGGTCGTGATCTGTTACAGCTCTGATGCGGTGACCTTGACATTAAAATTAACACTCAGGAAACTAGAGTTACTATATGATCCCTCAAAAAATTAGCCCAAGCTAGAACATAACTTCTAATTTCATTATGACTGGCTTGGGAGCTTTCAGAGTAATTTTATGAAGAAACTAAGAGGAAAAGGAATTTGTCAAAGGCAGACAGAAAGATGCACAGAGGATGAGAGGGGAAAGATAGGGAAGACGGAAGAGAGGCAAAGAGGAGAGAAAGAGAGGAAAGGGGGATGGGATGAGAGAGAGGACAAAGAGGAAAAAAAGGAGGGAAAGAGTGGGAAAAGAAGTAAGAAGAGAGAAGCACAGGACAGGTGGGGGAGGAGGTACAGAAGAAGAGAGACCAAGGGGGAGAAAAATAAGTATAAGGGAAAATACTGAGTAGAGGGAAGAGAAAGTGGGAGAGGACAGGAAGACAAAAGGTGAAAAGAGAAAATACAGTTTTGCATGTTCAGGGTTAGAAGAGTCAAGATCATCAAGCTCTTCCTCAGCAACCCCGGGGGTGGTCATCCAGCCTGTGGACTTGCATAGCTCAGATGGCACAAGACTCCCTGCATCATTAGAGAAGAGGGGAAGCAGTAAGGTATGGGCAGGCCATGGGTTCTGGTGGCCTGGAAAAGATTTGGAGCATGGCAATTGGGGTGGGGGTGTCATACTAAGGGCGGGAGCAAACTGGACAATACAAAGACGAGACCAGCAGAACGAGCACCTCCATCTTCACCCAAGCGTCTCAGCCCTTACCTGAGCTGGGGGCCTAATTCTTGACCTGTCAGACGTGGATACTCTGGGCTGGATCAGTGCGGGCCCAGGACTGGGTGAAGTCGGGCCAAGGATACAGGCTTCTTCAGTGTAGGGCACAGCAGCTGTTGTGCCGCTGACGATGTAGCTGTAAAAGGAGACCTCTAGGGTGTAGCAATAGGAAGTGTGGTCCAGGAGTCCACCGAGGAAGCGACGGCCAGTTCCTGCTTTCACAGCATCCCGGTTAAAGGATGTGCTGGACTGTGAAAGACAAAGCAGGAAAGAGAGAATCAGGGCACCTGTTGGCGCTTGGATTGTGAGCAAATGTCACAACACCTCTGGGTCTCAGCTTCCTCGTCTGAAAAGTGGGATATTAGCCCCTTGTTGCATGATTATTATGAGGACTGATTACATAAACAAACATAATTAATGACAGCAGCAAGCAGAGTTCTTGAGGTGCAGTAACTGCCATTCAACGAATATTTGTGGAAATATGAATGGAGACAGGGAGCAGGAAAAAGCAGACAGAGAAAAAGAAGCAACTACATTTTGATGATAATCAGAACTAACATTTGGAGCTTGGCATGGTGGCGTGTGCCTGTAGTTCCAGCTACTTGGGAGGTTGAGGCAGAGGTGTTGCTTGAGCCCAGAAGTTTAAATTCAGCCTAGGCAACATAGTGAGACCATGTCTCTATTCTTTAAAAAGAAAAAATGTAAAAAAAAAAAAAAAAAGCAAACTTAAAACGTGGGCAGTCCTTTCAATTTTATAATATTGTTTCCCATGCAGTATCCCATTTAGGCTTCAAAATAACCACTTGAAGTAGGTGTTCACATTTTGTCTCTCTACAGATCGGGAAACTGAGACTCATAGAGGTGGAGCAAGTAAGTGATAAAGCACAAATCTGAATCCAGAACTAAGTGACTCCAGACTCCTGAAGACTCCGCTTTCCTTAGGGATAGCTGATTCACATCCAGAATCACTAGAGTGCAGGGATCATGGCTGCTTCCTCACCAAGTTCTGACAGCACCCATCACAGCGGATAGAGACAGAAGTGAACAAGCACGTCAGTCTCAAGTCCTCTGTTCAAAGACATGCTCTGCTACCCACTGATTGTGTGATATCAGCAAGTTGACTTATTTGTCTTAGCCTCAGTTTCTTCGTTTGTAATGTGCAAGTGACAATAATATCTCTTTCACAGAGTTGTGAGGGTCAGTTCACTTGAAGGTAGAAGGGCATTCTATGCTAACCCAAGGAAATTTAAGCAAATGAACAGAATATGGTTTTAACAAGAATTCTCTTATTCAGCAGGAGATAAAGGAAAAAGGAAAAGAGATGAAGTAAACAGCAATACAAGAAAGACACGGAAAAACTGTGAAAGAAACAGAGAAGTATGTGTGTGTGTGTGTGTGTGTGTGTATTTTGAAGTAAAGGAAAAATCAGAAAATCATAGGCTGTTAGAGATGAAAGATCTTTGAAATCCATGTAGTGAACTTCAACTATCCTATTTTAGAGTTGGGCACTGAGGGGAGAGGAGGGGAGGGGAGGGGAGGGAAGGGAAAAGGGAAGGGGGAAGGGAGGGGGGAAGGGAAGGGGGAAGGGAAGGGGGAAGGGAAGGGGGAAGGGAAGGGGGAAGGGAAGGGGGAAGGGAATGGAAGGGGAGAAGAGAACAGCAATTGGACTAGGACAGATGACCTTGACTCCCCTTCTTAAGGAGGCTGAAGTGCAGAAACATCCACAGGCAAGCCCAGTAATAAGGCTCCCAGAGTGTGCCCCTTTTGTAGTCCCTGGAAACCTCACCTGTGTGAGGAGGGTCTCTGAGGCCTATGACCCAGCCTTTCAAGGAACTGGGACTAAGGAGGCCACATTCTTCTCTGAAACTGCAGTGGTCTCAAATAGACAGGGCCATCCTATAGAGATTCTTATAGAAAAAGGCATGGCTGTTTCTGCCCCACAGCTGCAAATGGGGAGCCACCTGCTTTGATTCTATCATTAAAGGCTGGGTGACCTTATACTGGATACGCATCTTTTCTGGGGCTACTCTTTACTCTTAGGTGTAAAGAGGGGACTGGACTAAATAATCTGCCAGTTCCTTTCCTAGTTTGACATTCAAAGGTTCTGGGATTCAGAGTGCATCTTACCACTCAGGGAAATTCATCATCTCAAGTAATGTCCTGGCCTGAAGCAATGGACAGCTGAGTTTTCAGCTCATCAACTTCAAAAATTGCTATGACCTTTGTGGGCCTCTGCCCCTCTGGCCACATGGAAATATCAGGCCACAGAGATTTAGTATCAAAACAAAGGAAAATGTGTAAAAGCTCTCTCTCTACACCACATGCTGATCCCCTCCTCATCTTCTCTTCCTGCCCTTTTCCAATATTGCTTTTGCTGTGAGATTTTCCCAACCCACAGCCTCTCCAGTCCTCAGCACGGGAGATGGGTAGTAACAGCAACCATCTCTGGAGTTTGTTCAGGTCTTTACTGTCTGCAAAGAACTTTTATATGAAAAACTGCATTTGTCCTCCCAGGAAGCTATGATGCAGGCAGGAGAGAAATTATCACCAAGCAATTACAAAAAATTTGAGGCTGAGAAGGAGTCATGGAGAAAAGAATGGTGGGCATATAACCCCGTTAGCAGATGTGTGGTGCTTATGCGAAAAGAGCTGGGATTGGTAAAAGCAGACCCTGAGGCAAGGTCTGGCACGTGGTAGGTGCTCAGTGAGTTTCCTTTTCTTGTTAATGCTGGAGTAGACTCCATTAATCAAGGCCGGGAACAGTATGCCTGTAATTCCAGCACTTTGGGAAGCTGAAGCAGGTGGATCTCTCGAATCCAGGAGTTTGAAACCAGCCTGGGCAACAGAGAGAAACCCTATCTCAACAAAATAAATAAACAAATAGATAAACAAATAGATTATATATATATATATATATATATATATATATATATATAGAGAGAGAGAGAGAGAGAGAGAGAGAGAGAGAGAGAGAGAGACGGGGTCTTGCTCTGTCACCCAGGCTGAAGTGCCGTGGCACGATCTCAGCTCACTGCAACTTCCACCTCCCAGATTCAAGTGATTCTCCTGTCTCAGCCTCCTGAGTAGCTAGGATTACAAGCACGCACCACCATGCCAGCTAATTTCTGTATTTTTCAGAGATGGGGTTTCACCATGTTGGTCAGGCTGGTCTCAAACTCCTGACCTCATGATTTGCCTGCCTCAGCCTCCCAAAGTACTGGGATTACAAGTGTAAGGCACCGTGTCTGGTCATAAATAAAGAATTTTTAAAGATTAGCCAGTAGTCCCAGCTACTCAGGGGGCTGAGGTGGGAGGATTGATCCTGGGAGATAGAGGCTGAGTGAGCCATGATCATACCACCACACTCCGGCCTGGGTGATAGAGCAAGATCTTATCTCAAAACAAAAGCCCAGAAACAAAAACAAATGCCAGTTTATCAGCCAACCAAAATGCTACCTTCTCTAAGAGTCTCCCTCCCTGACTGGTGATGGGCAGCTTGAGGACATGGGCATATCTTGTTTACCTCTATCTTCATCACCCACACAAGACTTGGCACGGAGTCAGGTGTCCTGTGGAGCTTAAAGCAAACTGAACTGAGTGAGAAGGAAGACAGGAAGTGGGGTCTGGGGGCTTGGGCTGGCTGAGAGAGAACTCCTGGCTTACATAGGAGAAGTCCTCAGCATTCTGGCAGAGGAGCTTGGGAAAAATGGCCTGCCTCTGGAACCGTTCCTCATCCTCAAATATGTTGCCATACATGAAGCCATTCATCATGGTGGAGTGGGCGTGGATGTCAATATAAAACTCCAGGCTTGTTTTCTGTTGAGAGAAAGGGTAACAAATGAGAAGTATGGGCCATAGAGCTTGCCTTAAAAGAATCAAACACTATACCACACACACCCCACACCACAGACACGCACACACATATACACACACATCAAGACCCTGTGTGTCAGCAGATTTAGCAGCCATTTGCAATGTGAGGGGAGGGGTTGAAACAGGTGAGGATCAATTTCTCCTCACTTTTAACATGGTTTTCCCCCAGGGTCTGAAATCACCACTATTAGCATCCTTTTTAAGAAGTCTTCAGAAAAGGTGAAATTTTTGTTGGGTTAAGTCATGATGTTACTTACTCAGAACAGCTAACACATTCATGACTAGACATTCGTGGAATTTATTTCTGTGATTAATAAGAAGTACCTTCCAGGTAACATAATTGTATTTACTGTGGTCCTGGTTGCAGTTTTGCCCCAACTTGACCATTTCTAGCTGGGAGGCTTGGTATAAATCATGTCCCTACTTTGAATCTCAGCTTTCTTATCTGAAAAATGGGTATTTTAATTCAAACCTCAGAGCATTATAGTGGGAATCAAACACAGCAATAAGAATTACTATATTGCTTAATGATGTCTTATGATATAAGTTATAATTACTGTCTTTTACCGTATATATAATGCATGCCAAACACCATTCTTGGAACTTTACACATGAAGTCTTAGTTAAATCTTTTAGTTAACTTTGTGTCATGATGCCACGTCTACTCTGCAATAGTACATAAATAATGCATGAAGGAGAATCCCTTTGCAGTCTATAAAGATGGCATTGACTAGTCTACCTCTGCTCTTTATTTACACATATTTAAGGCACTTTCTTGATTGATATGATATAATTTGTTAACCTTCCTTGAAGGTAGGAGCATTGTTTATAAAGAGCCTAGTGCTGATAAGTAAAGGATGCTCAGTAACCACATGCAGAATGATTGAACAAACGATCCCAGGGAGATTGCTCCACGTACTGTATGGATTAGCTAAACCAGGGGATGTGGACAATGGGGTGATTTTTAGGCCATTAGATCTTCAATGGCCCTCAAATCCAACCTTCCCTTCCTATATATATGTATCAGCCCAACTTATATCCATTAATCCTTTCTGAGAATAACGGAAGACCCACATGGGGAGGGAACGTGCCCAAGCTCAAGGCATAACTGGGACCGACACTTAGGCCCCCTGCCCCCTTGCACAATTAACTTATTGTCATCAATGACCAACACTAGAAAGAGCCAAGTCAAAACCTGGCCACCTCTCCATCCCCTTTCTAGCATACAGTCCTGGGAAAGAAGAAAAGTGCACATTTAGAAGGGTTCTCCCTCCTTGGGTTGCTTTCAAATCAAGTTAAAACCAAATGAAAACCATGTTGCTTCTAGAATGTGGGCTCAATGACTGTCATTTCATTTGCCTCAGAGTTGGAGTAAAAAATTATGTCCTGCCAAGCTCCCAGTTCTCTGGGTAGCATAAATGTCTTTTGGGAGATACAAGATACACTGCTCTGTGTGATATTAAACTCATCATTTTCAGCTTTGGAGGTGGAATACACAATGATTCAACAGGAGCCCTATAAAAGTCATCTTCACAATTTTATTTTCTTCAATTGTCTGTCTTTTCCTCTGAGCTTTTGATGAGCTTCACAGGAAAGGAGGAGGTAGATGATTTAAGAAATGTGTAAGGAATAGCTACAGTTTATACCTCTGGATGTCAGAGCTATAGACAGCCTCGGACACCAGTTTCACTGACCGTTCTCAGATTTGCTGTGAGTGGGGAGGTTGCTTGCTTAAGGTTGGCAAGCAAGTTAGTGAAGAAGCAAGAATTCGAAACTAGCTTTTCTTTTACTTTTAAATTTTGTTTAAAAAATTAAATTAAAAAAATTATTTGTATAAATTTATGGGGGTACAAGTGTAATTTTGTTACATTTTTCTGATAGCCATACAGATATGGCTTCCACTGTCTCATACTGACACCTGGCAACTGGTGTGACTTCACTTTAAAGAACCAGAGCCTAATTCTTTAAAGTGAAGTCACATCACCTAGTACATAAATTATTTACTAAAATTATTTATAGTAAAAGAACTCCCTTCTTCCAGTCACCCAGTTTTGCTCCCCAGAGGCAGCTAATGTTATCAGGTTTGCACGCATCATTCCAGAGCTAGTTTGTGCATATACAAGTAAATATTTCCTCTCACACCCAAACTCCCCGCTCCAAACACCCAAGTGGTAGCACCATAAACACACCATTCATATTTTCATCTTTTTAAAATATCTACCCCTTTAAAATAGAAATGACATAAACACACCATTCAGATCTGCTTATCTTCTCTGAACATATCTTGGAGGCAATTCTTTCCTAATACATAAAGAATTATCTCATTCTTTGTAACCCCCATATATAAACGAACTAGTTCCTTAATGATAAACATTTAAGGTATTTCCAATATTTTCCTGTTATAAAGAATGTCTTAGTGATGAACTTTGTATATACATTATTTCACACATATACAATTGTATGTAAAATAAATTCCTAGAAGTGAAATTTTCGGATCCCATGTGCATTTGCAATTCTGATTAATATTGACAGACTGAGCTTAGAAGGGCCAGACCACTCCTAGCCTATTACCTTGACAACATAGGTGGAATCAAACTTTTGATATTTACCAATTTGGTGGGTGAAAAGTAATATCTAAGATTAGTTTTAATCTGAATTTCTCTTAGTACTATATAATTGTCTTTTACTGTATAGTTAAGCATCTTTTCCTAGGTTTAAAAATGATGTGTGGCTGGGCACGGTGGCTTACACCTGTAATCCCAGCACTTTGGGAGGCCAAAGCTGGTAGATCACCTGAGGTCAGGAGTTCAAGACCAGCCTGGCCAACAAGGTGAAACCCCGCCTCTACTAAAAATACTAAACAAATGAGCTAGGCGTGGTGGTGAGCACCTGTAATCCCAGCTACTCAAGAGGCTGAGGCAGGAGAATTGCTTGAACCTGGGAGGCAGAGGTTGCAGTGAGCTGAGACCACATTGCACTCCAGCCTGGGCAACATGAGTGAAATTCCATCTCAAAAAAATAAAAAATAAAAAAACAAAATGATTTGCATTTTCTTTTCTAAGAACTCTGTTAATTTCCTTTTACCATTTAAAAAATTAGATTGTTTGCTTTATTTCTTATTCATTTAGAGGAGCTATTTATTATAGAAATTAGCCTCTATGTGTAGGATAAAGATACTTTTGCCATTTGTTTTTCTATTTTATTTCTGTTGATGCATTTTTTCCATATAGAATTTTTTAAATGCTGATTTTTGATACAATTTATCAATCTTTTCTTTTTTGGTTTCCTAGCTGAATTATTTCACTGTTGCTTCCATTTTATTGTTTTGCTGTGCATTTTTTGGATGTTTTGTTTCAATTTCAATGTATGTGGACATGGACTATGAGGTAAGGGTTAAATTTCACTGTTTCAACACATTTTTATTGAATCGTGTGTCTCTTCCTCACTGACATTTCTATCTCCCTTGCCATTTGGTTGGGATCAAATGAAATGTGGGCAATAACGAAAACTTCCAGACCTGCCCATAAAACTCCTCATACACAATCACCCACATTCTCTCCTGCCCTTCTGCGTGGAAGCTACATGTAAATAATGATGATATCCTAAGAAGAAATAAGCCTATGTCCTCAACTCAACACTTAGAGCACAACAACCCGGAGAGTCACCTGATCTGCATCAGATTGTGACATGAGAAAGATGTGAATCTTCACTGTAGTAAGCCACTGAAATTTGGGGATTGTTTATTATAGAAGCTAATATCATTCATCTTGAGTAGTTCAAACCTCAATTCAAAAAGCCTTATTTTATCCCTCAGGTTGAGTTAACAGCCTCCTCTGTGCTCACATAATTCAAAGCATGTATCTCTCTCATGGCACTTACCATATGACATAATAACCCATTATTTTTATCTCCCTCCAGAATGTGAGCTCTTTGAGGGCAGGGATCTTATATTGCTTGTTTTTTTTCAATCCACAGGACGAGAACAAGGCCTGGCATGTGGTAGGCCATCATTAAAGGTTGACAAAGGAATGAATAAGAAAATGGACTGGTAGAAGGATAAGTAAATTAATGAATAAACAAATGCATCTTAAGGTTTTCCAACAGTAAAACCAGGTACTTTTCTGTGGCTGTGCCAGACCAAGGGGTGTATGTCACTAATGTAGGGCCCTTAATTACAATTTGGGAATGAGAATAGAAGGTGGGTGATGGGGAAAGCATCTCCATTCTTTCCTTCCAAACTTAAGAACCTTAATTAAAATGGAATGATGATGGGTTGTCCCCTTGCCAGCAGCCAGCAGCTCACCTTGCAATCAGGGGCCTAAAGAGTAAATTAAAATCAGTGCCAATAAAACTAAAACTACGTTGGGGCATATTTGCAACATAATTTAGTGTGGAGTTTGCTTCCACCTAGACACCAGGGAGGAAATGGGTTTTCTTTCTCTATTCTGAGCTGCTTCCCTGCTTCATCTCACTTGGCACAGGCCGGAACCTGAGCCTGGTGCTCCAATGTGGGACTGCATCCTTCACATTTGGGCAGCACTTCAGAGTTTATCACAAATTCAGTTCAGTGAAGGAAGGACAATCCAGGGCAATCCAATCCGGGAAGGACAGAGGAGTTTATCTCAGGTTTGGAGATGCCATGTGGAAAAAACTGAAGCGTAGGCAGGAATAACTGAGCAGGGTGAGTTTTGCTATTATTTCTGTTTCACAGAGGAGGAAACTGAAGCTCAGAGAACTCCAGTAACTTGCCCAGCATTACACAGCAAGATGTGGCAGAGCCGAGACTGAAACTCAGGCCTCTGGCTGTAAACTCTCCATGTCCTGGACCCTACTGTCCTCACAGGAGCCTGCAGCCTAGCAAAGCAATTACCTGATTACAGTAAGGCAAGCCCCACGCAGCTTCCTTCAGCTCTGAGCTGAAGGACTGGTTCGGGGGGAGGTCT